CTTACGTAGTAAACTGGCCACCGTACTCCTCTTCCTCGTGTACCAAAGTTGCACGGATCACAGACTTGGATACCGATAAATACAAAAGTAAGGGCTTGCCTCGGACGAGCTTGGATAACAAAGTAGGCTGCTTGTAATAGCTTCTTTCTAACTAGTATACTTAGAAAATATACTATGAAAACGTACATACTTATTAAATGAAAGGTAGATGGGCCCAAAATTTTCTCTTTACTTAACATATAAGTCTGTACAAATACAAAATAGCATATTCAAAAGCTTTAACAATGGTGGACAGTAGTGCCATTTCTCTCCGCTTCTCGACGTCCCTCCGACTACTTCTCACCTATTTCCTGCAAAACATGGAAAAATAACAGGGTGAGCACAAAAATGCTCAGTAAGTAAATCCTCTACTCTTCTATCCCTGCAACTTCCTCTTTGGTTCTTTCCTTACTCCATTCTTTTCTTCTTCATTCTTTCTTTGTTCTTTTTCTTTTCTTTTGCTGTTTCTAATTCTCACAATTCTTTCCTTTCTTTCTAATTCTCTTTATTCTTTCTTTCTCTCTTATTCTCACTAACCATGATAAGAACCATGGTAACATGCATGAATGGGTTGCACATGCAGTAATGCATAGAAATGCATTTTCTTTCTTCTTTTCTATTTCTTATTCTATTTCTTTTCTTTTTTTCTATTTTTTTTTCTTTTCTTTCTTTTCTTTTCTTGCTTGCTTAAGCTCTTCTTCTTCTTTCTCATTCTTTCTTCTTCTTCTTCTTTGTTATTCATATTCATATTCTTTCTTTTCTTTGCCGATCGGACTCGGTTGATGCATGGATTCGTAACCTTGGCTGTGTGAGTGAGTACAGTCCTCATCTACATGCACTCTTACGGACTGTACAAATTCTTTCTTCTTCTTAGGCCACCTAATTAAGGTGGCATGCGTGTAGGGAATTCTTCTTGGTATAGCCCTCATCCACATACACTCTTACGGGCCGTACAAATTATTCTTCTTCTTAGGCCAATCAATTAAGGTGGTGTGTATGTGGTAATTTCTTCTTCTTGTCACCCACGGGTTCCCCATCGCAACAACCTTTTCTTTTTCTCTTCTTTAGCACTTTTCTTTCTTTATTTCTTTAGTGCTTTTCTTTCTTTCTTTCTTTTTATTCTTTATTCTTTCTTTAAAATTCTTATGCATATGCAAATATATGCATGTGGATGGCTCATGCTTATAATTCTTTCTTAAGTGAAAACATGGAATGCAAATATACAATGTTGTACAAAATTAAGTTTTCTCTACTTATGCATATGCTTCTCTTAGGCATTTCATAAAACAACAAGTATGCATACTTAAATTCTACTTTAACTATAACTCTACTTCTTTCTTAGACCATCCATAATTGGAGTAAAACTCCCTTGAATCATCACAAATCCTGGCCAGGAAAATGCACTTCAAATATTCTACTCAAATTCTTTCTACTTCAACCAATTTCACCTGGTCACCACAACATCAACCCCACTTCTCATGGCTCAAATCTACTCATCAAAAGCCATATACTCAACAATAGCATCATCTTCAACAATCAATCTCAAACTCATAAGCATATTCATACATATCAAATCATTTGATTGCTTAAATCTTAACTTGAGTTGGATTTACTTACCTTATGCTTGAGTAGTTCCACAAAAGCTGTCTATCTTTGTTGGACTTGTTCTTTCTCTCAAACTAGCGTGCTGTCGTAGGCATCCATAATTAAAACCCTAAAAAAATGCACATAGTAATGTGAGTAAGGATCGTTCCTATGAAGAGTGTCTAGCCAGGTTTAATGTTACGTGAACAAGGCTGGGGTCTTTTGAGTAAAACAGGAATAATTTCAGGAAAAACAACTCAAATTAAACTATCGAAATCAATCAAATAACGAAACTTGGTCTAGGTCAACATCCACCAAAGAAATCTTACAACTGATCATCGATACAAAAATAAATCAATTCATACCCTGAATATTCACCGTTGGAACTATTTTCCTATCTCTCCTTAGTTGTAATTAATTAAGAAACAAGCGATCTAATTAACCTTACTACTAAACAACCCTAGACAAGTGCTAAAGATTTAATCTAGTGGCAGCCTTAAGACCTAGAGAGATCGATGAAGCTAAACAACACAAACTCAAGCGGTTGCATTTAATTCAGTCAAATGTTCTTCTTAAGACTTAATAATTCCTGACGCATCAAATTCTTAAACCCTAATTACTTCACAAGTTAAAGGGATAAAAAAATTACGGATTTGATATCTAACTTAGCAGTAGATTGCAACAATTAATAAACTAGTAGGCCTCCTAGTAATTAAATGCAACAATCATGAAAATTTGCATAGAAGAACATCCAATTCTCAAACATAAATTGAACACTTAAAGAAAAAAACTAGATTGATCTCAGAGTTTATTGATTCTGAGGTCTTGTTTCCTTTGACCAAGTTATAAAAATTAGCCACTCATGGCCATCATGGAAATTCAAAGGAAAAGTTCAAAAAGAAAACGAAGAAGAAAAATTCCAGAAAAATGAATTCCACCAGAGAGAAGAGAGAGGCATGTGTGATATGTGTTATCCCTATTCTGATCTCCCTCTCTCCATATCCAATTCGAATTTTAATTCTACTAAATCTAAATCTCATAAAAATATTCTAAAATCCCAAAATAACCTTTATCCTAATCTGAGTAATTGAAAATAAAATAAAGTCTTAATACAAAATAGGAAAGTGGTGTGTCCAGCTGTAATTTGCGTGCAATAGGTCTTCAAATCTTCCAATAATAAACTGCCTATTTGAATTTCATGACAAGGCAGAATGTTCCAGAATGTCGGCAGTGCAGGTGTGTCAACTTCAAGCCTGGTTACATTAAGGGGGTAAATATGACATTTTGTATTCTTATCACAAACCTTAAGCATAAACTCTATAAGAATTCGACACTTGTCCACATTAATCTCATAGCCAGAGCAATGATCCTTACCTTTTGATGCTTAGGATCAAATCCCTATCAAAATCCAACCAAAAGCCCTCAATTTCCTTTAGCAAATTAGTGAAGAGATGAGAGAAATGGAGAGTGGAAGTGGTGTATGAAGTGTAGAGAATGTGAGGGTTTGAACCCTTATTAGCTCAGATAAATAAACATTCTTTCCCATTTTGCCCTTACACTTTCTTAGAAATTCCATCCTTGCCCTTTAATTCTTTACAAATACACCCTATCTCCAATGCATTCTCCATGAAATTTTCTTACATTTCACTCCCCACTTTTCCTGCTAATTAGGGATAAAATGGTCACTTCACCCTTATGGAAAATTTCTCTAGAAACTTCACAAGAAAATCATCTGACTCTTCGCCCCGGTGAAGATTTTTCTTCGCCTCAGCGAAAATTACAGAGAATACGTCACCGCAGCGAAGATTATTCTTCGCCCCGGCGAAGTCTGTAATTCTCTAATTTCACCAAGTCTTCACCAAATTCAAGGCAACCACACCATAAAATCACCAAACCAATTTAACTAAGGCCAACAAACAACATTTAAAGGCAAATAAACATGAGGAAACTATGTACCTCAAAGTGGGCGTTTAGGGTTTAGAATTTAAGGTTTAAGGTTTAGGGTTTAGGGTTAGGGGTTAGGGTTTAAGGAAATTTTTTCTAAGTGTTTTGCTCTTAATTCTCTCTACCAGAACTTTGCTGGCTTCTTTCGAGCACGTCCGGTGTCAGAATCAGACGATCCACCCACCGTTAGAAAGAGCGTTGAACGAGATATCCTATCGTTTCATCACTGCCTATGTTTGCTGCTCTGCTCATCAGGATTTGGCCATGAAAATTCACGAAATCTGTAGATGTGGAGTTGCTTTTGCAGTGGGTTTCTCGATCGAGAATTGCAATGGAGTGCCACGACTGACTCTTCTGGGCAGGATCTTCAGTCCCCACATCTCTTTGCACCTTGTTGACCTTTGGTTCCCAAAAAAACCCTCTGTTTTTTCTCAGGAACATGCTGTTTTGGTTGGGTTTCTTTGCCCCTTTTGTGGACATATTTTGGTGTGATTTTCAGCAGTTTTTTTGTGGTTTCTTGCTGGTTTTTGTTTGTTGCAGATTCCTAGAAAGCGTGGTTGAATTTGGTCATCTCTTAAGGATGCTTTTATCATGCACACCAACTACTCGATAAAAGACAACCTTTTCTGCAGGCCTTGCGTGCAAGCCCTGGTGCGTGCACCCAGCACCCTAGCACATGTGCTTGCTGCTACCTTCACCACTCTTTGGCCCTTCTAACCACCTTCCCCTTTCCAACACCAAAACCTCTTCACCCCTGACATTTTTTCACAAATCCCCACTGTTTTGAACTTTTAAACTCACCTAAAGCACACATTTTTTTCCTGGCACCAAGTGTTCAACAAAATATCCGAACCAAATCCCTTACTCCCAAATAACACCGTGCCACACCCAACCCAAACCAAAACTTTAAACACTACCTCCATTAGCTCCCAGCAACCACAAAATTCTAGAAATTTGGGGAAATCTTTATGGATTGGAGATTTGGAGCCATGGATGGATGACAAGTATTTGTTATTCGCTTTCTCAAATGTGGTGATTCAAGGAGCCAAGGTTTTTCATCACAAAAACTCTTCCTTTGGTTTTCTTGAGTTTGAATCTAATGATATTGCAGGTTCATCATTGCAATCTTTTAATGGCTTAAAAATGCCGAAGTCTAAGCAGCTTTTCAAACTCAATTAGGCGTCTTATGAGCCCCGTGAAAAAAAGCCAATTTCTAAGCCAGTTTTAGAAAAGAAAAGTATGGGTAAGAGCACATCAGAAGTGTCCTCCTCTTGGGCGGATAAGGTTAGAGTGACAGAGGTCGGGTCCCACTTCACCTTGAAGTTGTGGACCTTGATATTAAGGATGACATTTTACATATCCTGGATAATGTTATTGATGACAATGATATTGAATGGCTTCACTGTATTGTGGGTTATTTCCTGGGGTATTCTATGCCATTTCATGCTGTCCGCTCAATTGCTTTCCGTGCATGGGAAGCTGTAGCGTTGGAAGATGTTATGTCCACTGGTACTGGTTTTTTCATCTTCAGATTTAGGGATGAGGATGCAGTGCATTCAATCCTAGAGAGAGGGTCGTGGATGTTTGGGGGCAAGTCTATTGTTCTGCAACAATGGCATGCTTAATTTTCTTTTGATAAAAGCTGCATCTCTAAGGTTTTGGTATGGGCTCGTTTGCATGGGTTGCCTTATCCTTTGTGGTCTCACAAAGGACTCTGCATGGTTTCTTCTATGTTGGGTCAACCGCTGTCGAGTGATAAGACAACTTCTAAGCGGACCCGTTTAGATTATGCCCGAGTATGTTTTGAGATAGATGCAGCAAAGCCTCTAAAGTGCCATTTTGAATTTCAATGCCTGTTATCTGCTGAACCCATTCAGATTATAGTGGAATATGAGTGGACCCCCAAGAGGTTCCTTAAGTGCTGTGTTTTTGGCCATGTTTGTCACCAACTAGAGGTACCTACTACAACTATGGCTCAGGGTAAGAGTAAGATAGTTACTAGCCTCTAGAAGGCACCGGGGAAAGCTATTGTAGTGTGATCTGAGGATTGCGAGCCTTTGAGGCAGCCAACCACTACTGATCCCATCAGAGAGAGGAAGCAGAAAAGGGATGTTCCCATACCAGCTAGAGTTTCAGTTCTGAGTACAATTAGAGATATGGATGCTTCTTTGGCTCTGGTCTCGTATCAGCAGACTGTTCGTGCAAGCAGAGGTGAATTTTCTGGCTCTGAATCGGGGTCGAAACATGATTCACCTTTTCCTATTGAGGATTAGCAAGATCGCATTATAGGTTTCACAAATTGCACGCTAAACACTCAGATTTCCTTTATAAGTTCTGGGAGTAGGCAATATACTTCCTCCAACAGGTTTCCCTCGCTTGTTCTGCATAGTGATGATCTCCAGGCACCAGATGCTACCTTATCTGGATCAGTTTCCTTGCCACCCCTGGTAAAGGGGAAATGTCAGGGAAAGTGAGGGCTTAGGCTGAAGTGATTTTTTAGCTTGTTTCAATCCCAATTCCAATGATAGGGAATTGGATTTCTGCCTCTTCTTTGGGTTTGATTGGTTTGTTAGAGACTAAGGTTGAGTAGTCTCATCTACAGTCGGTGGTTTCGGCAGTTTGTCCTTCATGGTAGTTTTTGTCAAATACGATGGATTCTATTACCTGCTGAGTTCTGGTATGTTGGGATCCTTCTCTTTACTCTATAAATAGCCTTTATTGCTCTTTTCAGGAGATTACTTGTAGGGTTACTCATGTTTTCGAGGGGTTCTCCTTTGGGATTACTTTTGTGTATGGTTCTAACGACCCTAGGAATCGCCGCAATCTATGGGATTTCCTTAGGGATCAGTCAGTAGAGTTTGATTCGATGGGGCTCCTGTGGCTTGTGTTGGGTGATTTTAATGCCATCTTGGGAGCCTCTGACAAAGTGGGTGATGATCCTCCGTGGTATGGTTATACGGATGATTTTGGCCAATGTATCCATAATGCTGAGTTGATTGGGGTTCCTTTTACTAGGCTTCGGTATACTTGGCATAATAGTCAGCGGGGCGATGGGATTATTTTACGGAAGCTCGATTGGGTTTTTGCATCACCTTCTTGGTTTCCCTATCGACCGAACATAGTTTTAGAGTTTCGACCTTGGGATGTCTCAAATCATAGTTCTATGGTTGTCTGGTTTGGTCCCCATCATGGCAAGGTACCATCCCCTTTCAAATTTCTAAATTTTTGGGCTGATCATGCAAATTTTATGGATATTGTTCAGGCAGTTTGGGACAAGCCTATTGTAGGCAATCCTATGTTCCGTCTTACGCAGAAATTGGGGTTATTGAAATGGAAGCTCAAATCTTTACATATTAGGGTTTCTAGCCATATCTCTAGCCAGGTAATTGAGGCCTGGTCTCAGTGGGCAACAGCCTAAGAAAATTTGGATTGGACCCCTTTTCTACTGAGTGTATCACTGAGGAGAGGAACCTTGCCAACTAGTATTTCAATCTTTGTTGAGATGAGGAGGCTTTTTTTAAGTAGCGGTCTCGTGTTTAGTGGCTGAACTTAGGGGATCTGAATACTAAGTTTTTTCAAAAGTCATTGATCCATAGGTAGGTTCGGAACCGCGTCCACGGTTTGACTGATGGGAATGGTACCCATATTACCGACAGTCAAGGTTTAGGGCATTTGGCGGTGGGTTTTTTTTAAGGATCTTCTTGCTGCCCGTACTCAACCTTAGATCACAGAGGCTTCTAGGTATTTTTTTGGGTGCATTTCTCCTGATATGATTTCTCCATTGACTGCTCATATCACTGATGATGAGATTAGGATTGCTTTATTCTCAATCCCGGATGATAAAGCCCCTAGTCTGAACAAATATACTTCTTTGTTTTTTAAGCGAGCATGGGATATTATTAGTATAGATATTAGAGATGCAGTGAGACATTTTTTTACTACTAATGAAATGCCAAGATGTGTTAATGCCACAAGGACTGCTTTGGCTCCTAAGGTGGAGAGCCGGAGTCGTATGACGGACTTTAGACCGATATCTTGTTGTAATGTATTTTACAAGTGCATGCCTAAGGTGATAGTGAATCGGTTTAAAGTAGTGTTTCTGGATGTTATTGGGAGTTCCTAGTCGGCTTTTGTCCTGGGTTGAAGGATTTCTGATAATATTCTGTTGACTCAGGAGCTTTTGCAGAATTATCATCTTGGGGGTACTTCACCTCGATGTGTCCTTAAAGTTGATATTCGGAAAGCTTTTGATACTGTGAATTGGGATTTCATCCTTTCGGGACTGCGTACTGTGGGGTTTCCCGAGCGTATGGTGAGGTGGATCATGACATGTATCTCTACATAGTATTTCTCTGTTGCCCCGAACGGAGAGCTTCACGGTATTTTTAGGTCCTCTTGGGGTGTTCTACAGGGGGACCCGTTTTCCCCTTACCTATTTGTGTTGGCTATGGAGGGGTTAGTGGTATCTTTTGGGAAACTCATTGGAGGTGTAGGCAGGCAACTATTACTCATTTGTCTTTTGCAGATGATTTGATGGTGTTTTGTCAAGCAGATGCTTCCTCTGTTAGCCTGATCAAATCGGCCTTGGATTATTTTGCCAAGGTTTCTGGGTTGGTGACTAATGCAGAGAAGAGCCAGTTGTTTCTTTCTAGGGTTACAGATGAGAAGCAGATTGGGTTACAGTCTAATCATGGGTTTCTAGTTGGGCTAGTTATCGATCAGATATCTAAGGGTTCCTCTGATCTCTACCCGACTTCAACATTCTGATTGTAGGCCTCTGTTAGAGTGAATTTTGTCTCAGATTAGGCTATGGACATCGGCATCATTGACCTATGCAGGCAGACTATAACTGATCAAGTCAGTGCTATTCTCCATATAGGTATATTGGTCATCTAAGTTTCTTTTGCCGGCAGCTACAGTTAGACAGATTGAGAGTATTTTGGCATCATTTCTTTGGATGGGTACTTCATTGTCGCCTTCTAGTGCCAAGGTTGCATGGTCTTCTGTTTGCTATCCATTGAGAGAGGATGGGCTGGGGATTAAGAGGATCCAAGATTGGAATAGAGCGGCTATTCTTAAGCACGTGTGGAGACTACTTAATGATAGGTCTTCTGTATGGTCCTCTTGGGCTCGTTTGGTTCTCCTCCATGGTCAGTCTTTTTGGCACATTCGAGTTACGTCTGGGGCTTCATGGGCTTGGAGGAAGATTTTACTTAGCAAGGTTTGGTGCCAGGGTCTTATTGTGACTTGTATTGGTGATGGTAGAGACACCATGTTATGGCGAGATTACTGGCTGCCGTAGGGACCTTTGTGTGACTTACTCCCTTTTAGAACTTTGACTTCCACTGGTTTGCCATGGGATGCTCGGGTTTCAAACATTATTCCAGACGGTTTGTGGGATTTTCTTTCGGGTAGTGCCGACCTTCAGCATATCTAGGACTCCATTACAGTGCAGCCTTCAGTGAGTCTTCCTAACCATCTTGTGTGGAAGGGCCACCCGTCTGGGCGTTTCTCTATTGATTCATCGTGGAATGTGTTGTGAGACAAATGGGATGTGAACTCGATTCATCATCTCTTGTGGTTTCCAGGGCATATTCCACGCCACTCTTTCATTCTCTGGCTCGCTTCTCTTAGTCAGCTTCACACCATGGATCGGCTCAGCTCTCATTGTTAGTAAACGGTCCCGAATACACAGCGGAAACGAAAAATATAATATAACAGGATCGTTTACATGAGCCAAGATCAAGGGTATGATTTTACAATTTATATTAAATAAAATCTGCATAAATATTCAACATGAGTTAAGAGAAACAAACGCACGTTGAAGGCTCCTCCAAATTTGTGGTCGTACGTTTTGCTACCGATCCAAGTGTAGGATCGAACCTGCGTAGTCCACACGAAGACAATCTCAAAAGAACCAAAGAGGGATTTGCTAGATCCTCTTTGGCTTCAAGATTAAGAAGAAAACAAAATCAATTGAATGATTTTTAGGCTCAAAAGTGTTACTGCCGTGGGAGAAGCAAAAGGGCTGCTGTGTGTTTTTGGTTTTCAAAGAAAAAACCCTTTAATTAAAAATCACACACACTTTTCCTTTTATATTTAAAAACAATTTGCCCTAATCCCATACGAATAGGCTTGGGCTCCAACCCAAACGCCCCATGTTGCCAACACTCCCAATTTGATTTATTTTAATTTCCATCATTATCTCAATTAAAATCAAAATTATATAATTTAAATATACATATTATTATTATATATATAATTATATATTATATATATTAACTTTAACATAATATAATATATTAAATTGTGTGACCATATTTAAACGTATTTCACTTATTTAATTTTTCTAACAAATTAATTAAAGGCTACAACCTCACAAATTTAATTGCACTATGAAATTACCAAAATACCCTTTCGCCTTAAAAGACGAAAACGCCCTTTTTCTTCTTGCATCTTAAATTGTCTTCTATGTGTATGACCCTTAGGCTTCTCATCATATCGGCAGTGTATAGTATTGAGATTAACACCAATTAATCGTCTCACTATACACAACCAAGATTGGCCCCTAGCAAGGCATCATGGCCACCCTAGATTGGGATTCAGCAAAGTGCTACCTGTCAACGATATGGTTACCGTGCAATTCGATCCTTTCATCATACGTTATCTCGACGAGATGAAGGCTAGAAATAGTGTCAACCTTCGTTTACTCTCGATATTATTTATTCAGTTTCGGACCAATGACCCGTATTATAAACTGGATAGAGCACCAAGTCATCCCACTGTGGCCACATTTAGTGTCATTGCCTATACTGAATTGCGCCGTGAGATAACTTTCTCCCGTACCCGGGAGTGATGAATCCTCTGTCAATCCACCATAGTCTTGATACACTCCTTGATGCAGCCAATCACCACCGTATTGACAGCTCTGAAAGAACTGCGTTAGGCTAGTGTCAAACTACACCAATCGTGGCACAAGGCACTCCGGTGATCTCAGTCTAAGGATCACACATGCACCACCATTCGTTAGAGGATTTGTTCCATAACACTGGGGTTACCATCCATATGGAATCCTCTGGTGTCAGTCCAGTGAACTTGCTGTGGTGTAATCGCCTACAACAACATCATGTGTTGCACCAGTTGTTCACCAAACAACCTTGACTGAGATCAGTCACTGCCTTTCGACAGGTCGTTCAACACTATGATAGCCTTACCGTATTATCTGTGCCCTTAGTTCAGAATAATACTGGGGCTACGGATGTTTCTAGAATGGCCACCATATGTGCTCATAGGTTCTCACTATCAATTTGAACACTTGATACCCTCGTCACGGCTCTACCATTCTAAGGACATATATCAATACATATTGCAATAATAATGATTTACCGCATATAGAATAAAATGCCTTTTATTGATTATGAACATTATACAAAAAGTCAATTCTACAATAATTGATTGGCTCTAGGGCATCTACTCTAAACATCTCCCACTTGCACTATAGCCAATCATTCATGCCCTCAACACTGAATGACCAAAGTGCCTGCACTATAGCCAGTCATTCATGCACTCAACATTGAATGACCCAAGTTCCCATCATGCTCTTGCTACAACGAAACTTTAATAGGGGGTTGGTAGGCATTCTGCAAATCTGCACATTCCCTTTCATATCGATCCTTCAATCAGATTGAATCAACTACGTAAGTGTTTGGATTACTGGTGAGACCGTGATTCCTCTGCCACAACAATGGCTCCATTGTTATCGCAGTACAACTATACTGCACTAGCAATGCTTGAAATCACATCTAGTTCAGTAATGAACTTCTTGATCCAACGCCCCTACGGCTGCATTAAATGCGGTACACTTAGCATCAATTGTAGAATCCACTGCGTACACCAATTTGAGCTTTGCAGCTCACTGCAGTTATATGAGACAAAATGTGTAATCCCAAATTGTGAACTATATCATCCTTTTCCTGTTTGGAAATAGCGTCACTGTATTCTCTTACAGTGAGCCATCTTTCTTCCATAATCCAAGAATATATATTCTTAAGCCCTTTTCAAGCACTTAAGAATGTCCATTGACACTCACCATGTGTCATTCACTTGGATTTAGTTGATACTTCTACTAGTGCTGAATGCACATAAGACATAATCATCTAAGTACATAACATATTGCTCACTTGAGCCTGATTGACATCCACTACAATGCTGAATGCACATTAGTATCAATCTGAACATATAGATGGATCCACTTGCTAAAGCATGTGGGATCCTCTTCATTCTATCTCTCTCATTGTGTGGTTAAAGACACATATCCTTACAGAGATAGACCACATATGCCATCAGAGAAATCCCTTCTTGGATTTTTCTATACTGAATGTGTTCAGTACCTTGTCTATGTACTTTGACTTAGTTTGAGCAACCTACACATCTATCACGATAGATCTTTATTCCAAGGATGTAGGTTGTTTCCCCTAAGTCCTTCATGGAGACCACTTGGATAACCAAGTCTTTACCGACTGCAGTTCGGTATTCATTCCCGATCAAGTATGTCATCACATACAAACTAGGAAGCGCTACTGCGCTCCCACTCACTTTCTTATAAACACAGGTTCATCTTCGTACTTGAAAAACCGAATTCTTTTATGGCTTCATCAAAACGAATGTTCCAGCTCCTGAAGCTTGCTTGAGTCCATAAATGGATCTCTGTAACTTGCATACCTTATTGGTTTGACTATCAAGAACGAACCATCAGGTTGTGTCTGTATACATCCTTTTCAAGGTTTCCGTTCAGGAAAGCAGTTTGACATCCGTTTGCCACTCTCATAGTCATGATATGCAGCAATTGCAAGCATCATCCGGATGGATTTAATCATGGCAACCGGCGAAAAGGTTTCTTCATAGTCAATGCCATGAATTTGTTTGAAACCTTTGCAACCAGCCGTGCTTTATAGAGTATGCATGTTGCCCATGTCGGTCTTCTTCTTGAGGACCATTTACACCCTATGGGTTTTCCCCTTTAGTGGTTCACCAAGACCACACATGGTTCTAGTACATGGATTCCATCTCAGATTTCATGGCTTCAAGCCATTTAATGGAATCTGGATCCGATATAGCATCTTTGTAGGTTCTGGGTTCCTCGTCTTGGTAGACCAGTACGTCACCATGTTGAGTCACAAGATAACCGTATCTCTGGGCTCATGGCGTACTCTCCCAGATCTACGTAGCTCCTGTGCTACTTGATTATTTTCACTTTGATCCACAAGTTGTGGAGTAACCTCCTCATGATGCTCAACCACTTCTTGTGGCACATCATCCCTCCTTCGTCTAGTATACCTTGTGGTTCTAGACTTCATCGAGTTCTACTTTTCTCCCACTAGTACTCTTAGAAAATATTCATTTTCTAGGAAGACACCAGATCGAGCAATAAAAATTTTGCGCTCTTCTGGTGGTAGAAATAGTATCCTTGGGTCTCCTTTGGATACCCTACAAATATACATTTACAGGATTTTGGGCCCAGCTTGTTCGAAGTCAATTTCTTACTAAGCTTCGCAACCCCAAATCCTTAGATAAGACAAGTTGGGCTTTCCCCCTCCATAGCTAATATGAAGTCTTATCTACAGACTTTGACGGCACATGGTTCAAAACGTAGTCGCATTCTCTAGGGCATAACTCTAGAACTGTAGATAAATCACTAAACTCATCATGAACCTAACCATATCAAGTAAGGTCTTGTTCCTTCTTTCCGACACTCCTTTGTGTGGGGTGTATAAGAGGAGTGATTGTGATACTATCCCACATTCCTTCAGGTATGTTTAGCTCAACTTGCCAGAGTTGGCATAGTAGTCTTTTGAGATTATCCTTGTTGTTTTTCTTTAGAACATATTATTATGAAACAGTTCCATAAAGATATTATTTATACTCAAGGACAATAATCCATTAGTAAATTAATATTCTCATTTGTCCTATGTGGACACAGAAATATAATTTCTAGAAACTGAAGAAAAACCATAATATCCACAGTTCCAAGAAACAGTCCACGGCTAAATCAAACGATAACATCCTATAGCAAATGTAGCAGCACGTGCTTCATTTCCAACTGGTAGTCCACCTCTTACTCGTGAGCAATCTACTCTACCGTAGTTCCTACACATCAATCAAATGTGAGTACCACATCTGTGTCAGCTAGATGTTTATGGGAGAAGTTAATCTCAAAAACATACCTGACGAAGAAGTAACATTCTTCTTCCCTTTGCTAGGAAGGCCTTGCAATGTTTCCTCCATTGACTAGGATTCCCACAG